GTGTGTGTGTGTGTGTGTGTGTGTGTGTGTGTGTGTGTGTGTGTGTGTGTGTGTGTGTGTGTGTGTGTGTGTGTGTGTGTGTGTGTGTGTGTGTGTGTGTGTGTGTGTGTGTGTGTGTGTGTGTGTGTGTGTGTGTGTGTGTGTGTGTGTGTGTGTGTGTGTGTGTGTGTGTGTGTGTGTGTGTGTGTGTGTGTGTGTGTGTGTGTGTGTGTGTGTGTGTGTGTGTGTGTGTGTGTGTGTGTGTGTGTGTGTGTGTGTGTGTGTGTGTGTGTGTGTGTGTGTGTGTGTGTGTGTGTGTGTGTGTGTGTGTGTGTGTGTGTGTGTGTGTGTGTGTGTGTGTGTGTGTGTGTGTGTGTGTGTGTGTGTGTGTGTGTGTGTGTGTGTGTGTGTGTGTGTGTGTGTGCGCGCGCACTCATAAATCTTGCATGAATATCCAATAGCTATTTGTATGATAACCTTAGGTCAATTAATGTTTATGTTTTTCATTGTATAGAAGCAATGAGAGAGCACATAGGGCAAGTTATGGATGTCCACTATGTAAAAGTTCAATAAGTAAATATTCCAAATACTAGTTACACACCCCTAAAATATTAAATGCACCCCTAAAAAGAAAATTACATGACAATAAATTTCTAAATTATTTGACCCAAAAATACATGGTCAAAAATAAAAGAAAATATTTACAAAGAAGATAAAATGACTAAAAGTAATTCAAAGCTCAACATGAGCTTGGACCTTTTTTCTTCAAGTCTAGTTCATTTTTTTTAATTTTTATACTTTGCCCTTGAGCATGATGTCATCAAAAGGGTTTCACTAACTTGAAAACTTTTACAAATAATTATTCTCTATGCTACTTCTAGTTACACCAAATATTCTCTATGTCATTCTTGGCCAAGACACAACAACGAGTTACAACATTCTTTAACTAGCCTCCTTAGACTTATAAGAGAAAAAAGGTTGAGTGTTTACAAGCTAGCTCTCACAGAGAGGTTATGTATATTCAGGTACACATGAAAGTGGTTTGACTTACTAAGATAAGGATAACTAAACTTAAGCCTTCTCTTTGATCGTCCATTCGAAGTTTATTGGATGTTTAGACTTAAAAGAAATTCATCACAGTTTTGGCATAGCTAAAGAAGCGTTTATGCAATATTCACAAATATATTTTTTCTTCTCTTCAAGTCTTCTTGTATTTATAGGTTCCAAAGATATATTTGTCTGTGAGAGCCTTCAACACTTTGTCGTTTGAATGTGATCTTTGATCTACTTAATATGGTTGTTCTTCTCACTTGTTCTCATGCTTTAAGACATCATAAATTCTTAGGCTCAACAAGGAATGAATTAGAAAGCCTTGATTTTCAATGTGCTACTTTTTTGTGCTAATAATTTTTTTTTTGTTGCTAACGTTTTTTTTTTGGACCTTACATTGGTTTAGTTTCACTGTACCATTCTTTGCAAATACACAAAAGAGGAAATAAAGTAATCACTAGTGGAAAAAACACTTTTAAAATCGGTCGTTTTTGACTTTTAAAATCGGATCTCTAACCGATTTTAAAAGAGCCGATTTTGAAAAGTGGGACTTTTAACATCGGTCGCTGACCGATTTTAAAAGTCTCACTTTTAAAATCGGTCATACCATGACCGATTTTAAAAGTTGTTATTTTTTTTAAATATTTGACTTATTTTAGAAAGATCCCTGAACAAAACCTGCAAATTAATAAAATACCAGACAATTCATATGTTTTTAATAGACCAAATTACATACAAATGACAAGAGTTGGTAAATATCAACCATATATTTAATCAAAGTAACTTACAAATTATGATACATCCTAAATTACAAAATAAGTAAATTTATAAACATAACTCGTAGCTAGCCAATCTTTCATCTCTTGAATGCCCTTCAAGATCTCCACTTTCTCTACATGTCCAAGTTTATTAAAAAAACTTAACTCAACACCCTCTTGTTGCTGCAATTTTTCTTCTCTCTTTAGCTTGGCCATCTGCTCATCAGTAATTTATCACTAAGAAGCAGGACACAAATTTATCTCTAAGAATATTGTCCACTATATCAGTAATCTATCAAAAACCTCTCTAATGCATTCATAAACATGAGAACCCACCACTTTATTCATACACTTTCCTAATAATTAATTACATAATCAGATTAAAAATTGAAGATCAATATGTGGCAACAATTACGATTAGGAAAATTCAGAGAAATAAAAATAACTTTTAAATAATTACAATGAAAATAAACACATTCAAGAGTCACAATAGAATCTCTTTTCATGTAAGACTAAGATATTCTTACAAAATTATAATGGTGTTGATTCCACGCATTTCATACAATTATTACAAGATTTAATTTCGACTTATTTTACAAATTTTTATTGAATTAGATAAATTTGCAAATAGCCCTAAAACGATTAGAAAAATTAAATTATTTACTGATAATAATATAAAATTAATAATTTATACTGTCATTCGATAATAAAAACTTATATCATATTCATTTTTTTTTTATTTTTATAAAAATTACATCAATAGTTATTTTTTTATTAATCAACATTATAAAACTACTTTTAAGCTGATAATTACCATTGTACCTCTTTAATCTTACGGGTTAAACTTACAAGTAAAAGAAAAAAAGCAAAAATGATTAGTCATTATATCTTACAAGTTATAGTGTTATAATGGCACCGAAAGCAACCTTATGTAGGGGAGGGGCACAATGCTTGCTCCTATCCCCCGTACAGAAACTAGGCTCTACCGTTTTTCCCTTTTCTTTTCTCTGCTTCGCTAATTCGGACATGGCCATATAACCCTCATCATTTTGTGATTAGGATTTTAAAAAGAGGCCCTCATGAAAAAAAAAGCAAGAAAAAACAAAGGCCAAACAAGAAAAAGCATGCCAGTCTCTGTTCATATTTCCCTCTAAACAAATAATTACCCTGTCACCATAACAATAAGGAAGCCCAAACTATAAAAAAAAACACATCACCATTGCTCACAAGTCACAAGTCATAAGTCATAAGAAAACTCTAAATCTAGAACGTGTTTCACAAAAGCAGTGCCACATGAGCAACGAGTGGAGGTTGCCTTCTTACCCAAAGATACTCTTCTCCTTGATAGCTTCCAAGATAACCGACAACATTTGGATGATTACATTGTTGTAACATTTCAATCTCACCACGGATTTCCTCATACCCCTCCTCCTAATAAACACAATAAGCACCAAGTTCATTCACAACAGTTCAAACTCCATCTAATTAATCAAAATACCACAACACAAGTGTCCGAATACAAAAGCAACGTGAAGTCATGAACTCACCCCTTCAGATAACGGTATTACTTTAATAGCAACCATCTCCGAGGTTCTCAAATCCCTTGCTTTGTAAACAGCTCCATAGGACCCCTTGCCTGTCATCCAAAATCCACAAAAACTACATAAACACCACAATTACAACAATTCGCAATGCACGACCAATCAGAAAAGTAAAACACGAAAACAATTTTAAAAGTGGATATTGAAGAATAAAACCTTTATAATTGTACTACTACCTACTCCCATTCATTCATTCGTTCCATTTCCACCAAGTGACCAAACAAAACATAGGTGGTGGCGGAATCTCCGAGGGACTCTCCCTCTCCATAAAACCTAACCAAACACGAGAAGAGAAGAGAAAAGAAACCGCGCGCTTCAGTTCCGTTTGTTTCACTCTCTCTCCCTCGCTCCCTCTCCCAAACCCTTCCCCAAACGCCTTCAGACTGAGACCCTCGCTCTCTCTTCGCGTCTCTGCCAAACATGGCAACGCCGACGGCGTCTCTTCCTCTTCCTTCGTTCGCCGATCTTGGACTCTCTCTCCCTCCTCTTCCTTCAAGTTCCGCCCTCTCTCTTCCCCTTCGCCTCCACACGCCGCCGAGAACACGCTCTTCAAGACTCTCGAACTCGGCGCCTTGTTCGGCCTCTGGTACCTCTTCAACATCTACTTCAATATCTACAACAAGCAGGTTCTATTCTCTCGCCAGATCTCTTGTTAAAACGTTTGTTCCTGCCAACTCACCGACTCTCTCTCGACGGGCTTCACGACGAACGTTGAGAATCCTCCGCCGTCGTCCTCGTCGTCCTCGTCGCCGCTGCCGAATCTGTTCAGAGCACTCGCCTGAGCCGAGCTCCGAGCCTTCCAAGTCCCCGTCGGCTAGGGCTCCTAGATTCCACGAAAACAAAAGCGAAATTGAAAACGAAGGGCAAAAAATAAAGAGCGGAATAAGCACTATTGCACCAAATTTTGTGAGCGAGACGCGTTAGCAGAGTTAATGGTGGAACTGCTAGATCATGTTGCGGGGAAGGTGTGGAAAATTGGTTACGATGATGGTAGAAGGAAGAGAGCGATACTTCATACTTTGGGGTAAAGAGCATAGCAGAGATAAACGCGCGTTTTGTGAAAGAGGGGATAGGTCTTTTAAAATCGGTCTTTAAGAGCAGATTTTAAAAAATCGGTTCTTGCAAACCAATCTTTTGGAACCGATTTTAAAAGTTAAATTTTTAAAATTAGTTCTTGAAGAGCCGCTTTTAAAATCAGTTTTTTAGAACCGATTTTAAAAGTGAACTTTTAAAATCGATTCTTGAAAAGCCGATTTTAAAACTTTTACTTTTAAAGAGTCGATTTTAAAAGTAGCGTCAGAGACTTTTAAAATCGGTCATAACATAATCGATTTTAAAAATAATAACATTATTTACAAAATTGTCACCGCGTCACTTTTAAAATCGTTATCTTATAACCAATTTTAAAACTCCGATTTTAAAAGTTATTTTTATACTAATTTTTGTACTAGTGAATATAATATTTATAACATCAACAAATTATCATAGTATGTTTTTGAAAATTTTAGTAGGTTTTAAGAGCACGAAATGTTGTACAAGTATTGGAGTTGCAAAAACCTAATAGACGTAGACATTCGTCACTAGCATTAAACATTAGATGTAGACGTTGACTAATAACCTATTTTGTTAAGTGTTACATTGTCTTACTTTAAGTATTTGTAGAAAAAAAATCCTACAATCTTTCTATTTCCTTGGATGTATGTTTCCTAAAATGACTTAGACAAATGATAATTTATCAACATTATCATTGTTTTGTTATTATAAAAATTGAAGTATTAGATGCATAAAATCATCTTTTGTTCAACATTTCCCTCAATTATTTGAAATAAATGTAATAAATGCTATTAAGGCATGAAATATATAAAGCCATACGTGATACAACTTTCAAATGCTAATAAAATAGTATGCAAGCATATACTGTAATACGCATATTTCATATGGTTATTGAAACATCTATTGCTTTGTTCATAATTTTGATGAAAAAATATTTTAAAAACTAGTTTGGTTTTGAAGCTGGTTCTATAATTTTGGTTTCCAAATCAATTTTATAATTAAAAATTGATTCAATTCTTAAAACTGGTTAAAAACTATGTTTGTTTTGAAACTAAATCTATACTTTTGATGAAAAAAATCATTTAAAAAAAATTAAAATTGGTTTATTTCTTAAAACCAATTTAACTAGTTTGGTTTTAAAATCGGTTCTAAACCAATTTTGAATTTGTTTATGAAAGTAATTTGATTTTGAAATAGTTCAAATGATTCATAAATTGATTCGATTTAGTGCAGTGTGCAGTTTGGTTTGGTGCAGTTTTTTGAAAAAATTGAATCATGCACAACTCTAAAAATTGGTGGTGGACTCGATGTGCAGGGTGTACCTTCCTCCATTATGATTTCTCATAGAGCCCTCAAAGATAATTGCTATGGATACTAAATTATAATTATTTGTTTATAAGAGTAGATTTTAAATGTTATATGATATTAAAGAAATTAATCTTTATATATCTATTTGACATATAACTACACACAATTTAACGGTTGATTTTGAATATGATTTAACAACATATTTTATGTATCACTATAACCTATACCAACATTTTTTAATAATATACCAACATATATTATATTTAGTGTGTGGGTAAAAGTACTTTTTAATGACACATATTGTATCATTATGTGACAATTTTCTTGTAGTGTTTATAATAAATCTAAAATATAATTTATATGTTTAAAAATATCTATTTGTACAAATTTTAAATAATTTTTATTTCAAACATATTACATGTATAAATTCATTATAAATTTTAATTATATATATAAAATATTTTTGAATTACATGAATTAAAATACTAATAAAAAAAAAGAAATTGAGGTTACAAAAGACATATTTCATTTAAATATTAATCAATGTATTTATAAAACATAATATCCAAAAGAGAGCTGTTAACATATAGATAAAATCACTAACAAATTATATGTAGAAAATAGGTCTATTAGTTTTATCCTATGTGTTAACATGGCTTTTATTTTTCTAAGAAATAGCATAAAAAATATGATCTTCTATAGTTTTTTTTTTTTTTGTAAAGATAGGAAAGATTACAAAGATTGTCACAATGAGGATTGAACTTAGGTCCTCATGCTTCTAACTACCCCAATCCCTCCCCACCCGACCACTAGGCTAACCCTAGTGGTCTTGATTTTCTATAGTTTATTAACATGACTTTTATTTTCTTAAGAAATAGCGTAAAAAATCTTATCTTCTATTGTTTATTAACAACTTCTAATAGTCACATTTTGAACAAATTTGTTTTAAATATAATTACACAATGCTTTAGAGTACTTAATAGTTTCATCGTAGAATTTATTTAAGAACTATTGAACACACATTAAAGGTGTGTTAAGAAAGAGAGTAGTGGATAAGAAGACAAGAGAGATGTGAAGAAGTGAAGGAAAATTAAAAAAATAGATGTGAAAGATTTGAGTATTTTAGTGTGGTGCCATGATATACAACATTCTCTCTAAAATGAAGAGAAGTGTTATAAAGTTTATTGTAGCCACCTAAGTAGTCACGGGATGACAAAAATAAATTAAATACATGAAGTCGTCACCAATATTTATTTTAAGGAAAAAATATTGGAAAAACTATGAAATAGAAAATGGTCTACAAAAATCAAATTCTTGAGTTTGGAAGACCATTACGTGTAAGGAAGGTATTAGTACCTTACAACGTTCGTCCTAAGACAATTACCTCTGATTAATCAAGCAAACTATAATAACTTTTAAAATATTTATCTCATCCCACGTTAATATGAATTAAACATAATAATCAAATATATTGTTTAACAAATTTTTTTATTTTATTTTAATGAATACTAAAATTATTTATTATATTATTATTATTGAAAAAATAAGATAATATTGTTATTTTTATTTTTTGGATCGATAGAAGGGATTTCCTGCTCCTACATATCTCCATGTGTAATGAAGAATTAGAGTCACGTAGTTCTTTGGTAGAAAATATTTGTGTGTTGGAAAATTTCTTATTAATCTATTTATTGTTTTTCTTATAAAAGGTTAGGATTTTTGAACTGTCACAGCTCATATATCCTAAAGTATAAAAATTGACAAAGGTGTACACCAAAGCCAGATATTTAATTGCATTTAAAAATATTATTATTGTTGTCAATAATATTATTATTGTGATAAATATTTAAAAAGATTTTATTAAGATATTTTTTTTATTATTGGAGAAAAAATTAAAGATATCACGTTGTCACAACTTGTATCTTAAATTTCAAGGTTAAAAAGATATCACATCTAATCAACTATTTTTCCAATAAATTTTTTAATATTTATATTAAAAAATGTGATAATATTTTTTATATTTAATTATATTTTAAATTTAATTATATTTTAAATTTAATTATATTTTAAATTTAAATAAGAAGAACTTTAAGATAACAAATTGTCACAATTTGCACATTTAAACCCTAAAATTAAGAGAATGTCACATTCCAATAATCCTTTTTAAATGATAGATATTATTAATGTCAATATTGATATGAGAATATCAAAATAATTATTACATAAACATCTAACACATTTATATTAAGAAACAACTTAATCAAATAAATCAATTAAACTAATTTTATTAAAACAATAAATAAATGTTGTCATCTAAGATTAAGGAAATGCTTCATAATCTTGTTATTATTATTATTATTATTATTATTATAAAGAACAGATATTATTAATTTAATATTGATAAAAAATTTAGTATATATTTAAAAATATTTGATTTAATATTCTCTATTAGAGTAAAATTTAAAGATATCAAGTTGTCTTAACTTGTATCTTAAACTCATAGATTAAAAAGATGTCACATCTAATTAACTATTTTGCCACTAAAATATTTAAATAATGACTTCAAATATTTTTATTAAAAATTATAATATTCTAATGATTAATTATATATGTTAAATTTAGATAGAATTTTTAAGATAACAAGTTGTTACAACTTGCATCTATTAGGCCTAGAATTAAGAGAATGTACATTCAAATAATCCTTTCTTTGAATAAAAGTTACTAATTTTTATCATTCTCATTATTATCATTATTATGTGAAAATTCAACATATAATAACTTAAAATATTCAAATAAAATCAATTGCCTTAATTTTTGTATATAATTGTTAGCCTCAATTACATAAATTTAACATATTGTAAATTATACTCCAAAAACCTTATTTTCTTTAGGAAAAATGAATAAATGGGCTAGGCCCATACATGAGTTGAAAGAAAAAAGAACAAAACAAAAAAATCTGACCATCCAAGGAACAACATATCAAATGGGCTTGGCCTATATAATTAAAAAGCAAAAAGAAGAAAAGGAAAAACCATCAGAACCCTAAACTGTGAAACAGAAAAAGGAATTAAGGAAAACCATCAGAAACCCTTATGTTAGGGTTATGAGAGAAGCTCTCCAATTTCACTCTACAGACGATGCACTTGTGCTAGCTGGAAGAAGATCGACTCACGATACCACTGCAGCTGGCCGAAAAAGTGAAGCGGAAAGGGAAAACGGTAGTGAAAAAGAGTAACTCGAAGGAGGTAAGAGGGTCACCGTTGGAAATCGTTTTTGACGGTGACCCACGGTGATT